CATTTTCTATTGTTTTTTGCAAGGGAAAGCGGATTACAACAAAACAACCGGATCCTGTACACACCCTCTTTTCTGAGGCTTCCTCACGAAAATGATGAAAATGTAGCTGCGGCCTAGGCGGCGCAGGGGGGGCGCGCACCAGGGGGCCCAACAATAATTATTCTTTAGAATAAATAATGTTCAACAACAACAACAACAACAACAACAACAACAACAACAACAACAACAACAACAACAACAACAACAATCATTTTAAGATTGTTCGCGTTTGTCTGCTCGAGTGTCCAATAACGCGTATTTCCCAAACCCTCGGTACCAGCCCTCTTCGTCTTCGATCGTGCCCCTATTGGGGGGTATACTTTTCTTCCCTGCAGGCCGGGCCCCGGCAAGCGGCGGGGCGGCCGCGGACCGTCGGCTTGGCCAGCGGCAACGCTGATCGGCGGGGCGGCCGCGGACAGTCGACCCGACCCCAAGAGAGACGGACAGGGGACCGACGACGACGACGACGACGACGACGGCGACGGCGACGGCGGCGACGACGACGACGACGGCGACGACTACGACGGCGACGACGACGACGACGACGGCGACGACGACGACGAGCGAAAGCGAGAGCGAGAGAGAACGACAGCAGGGCCACGAAGGGCACGAAGTAGGCCACGAAGGGCGACAGCGGGGACACGACGGGAATGCGTACGGGGCCACGAACAGCGCGAACGAGCGGGGGCCACGAAGGGCAGATAATGCGTGGCCACAGAAAGGCAACGATGGGGCCACTGAGGGTAGCAACTGGGCCACGTAGGACAGTGAGGGGGCCACAAACGGCGACAGCGGCGCCACGAAGGGCACGCACATGGGGCCGCAACGGGCGCGAACGAGCGGGGGCCACGAATGGCATGCGTATGTTGGGCCGCGGAGGGCAAGGACGGGGCCACTGAGGGCAGCGACGGGGCCACGAACGGCAGCGAGGGAGCCACGAAGCGCAACAGGGGGGCCACGAAGGGCATGCATATGGGGCCACCACGGGCGCGAACGAGCGGGGGCCGCGAACGGCATACATATATGATGGGGCCACGAAGGGCAGCGAGGGGGCCACTGAGGGCAGCGACGGGGCCACGAAGGGCAGCAACGGGGCCACGAAGGGCAGCGAGGGGGCCACGAAGGATTGCAACGGGGCCCCGAAACAAAGCGAGGGGGCCACGAAGGGCTGCAACGGGGCCACGAAACAAAGCGAGGGGGCCACGAAGGGCTGCAACGGGGCCGCGAAAGGCAGCGAGATCCCGATTCCTATGTAATTTGTGGGGGAGTCCTAAGCGTGAGCGCGACTCCTGGATGCCTGGGTGCCGGGCGGGAGCACGGTGCTTGAGTACATTGCAAGAAATTCCAACGCAA